TAGACTTAGACTGCTGGAGCACAAACTGAGCACATTTCCTCACTCTGCTGTTGTCTTTAGTTTCTCTCCTCTACATGTTTGTTATAATTACTTCTTTCAATAACGTGTTTTCTTTGTCTCTTCCAGAGGAAAATACACCTGGACCAGTTCTTCTGTGTCTCTTTCCTGTCCCCCAAGCCCAGTTGGTCCTGAGCCTGGTTCTGCTGGAGGTTTCTTCCTGATTAGCAGGGAGTTTTTCCTCTCCGCTGTCACCAATGAGTTGCTCAGGATAGGAGACTGTGATGAAGTGGTTCAACACAATCGTCAGGCTTTAGATTATTTACTCTAATTGGCTTTTATGAAGTATGTGAATGTTTTGGTAAGCTGTCCTCTGATGATTTTTGTTGTGCACTATACAAATAAACTGAATTGAAATAATTACAGCAGTGATTTGAATCACTAGAATCACAGTATCTGATAAATTGCTTAGTTAACATGATTTTTCTTGAGTTCCTACCCTCCACACTTCAGTCCCAAAGCCATAAGAGCAGACTTCAATCTGTCCAGACCCAACGAGGCCAACTCCTGAATGAGAAAATCATTTCACATACAAGTTAAAGTGCGAAAGAGCAGCTCTTAAATTAAAATCAAACAGGTAGGGAGGATTTTATTTACCTCCCAAGAAGAAAAAGCTGAGAGGTCCAGATGAGCTCCAGCATGTGTCAAAGCACTGCTCGTTTCTTTCTACAAGATCAAAAAGCACAATRATCAAAGATCCTCTGACAATCAGACATTTGTGTCACATGTGCAGAACCTACAGGCCACCCTGGAAATGTCCCATTTTCCCATTTCTTCTCAAAGTCAGACAACACTTTGCCGTAGAGATCGTTCTGGTCCAGCAGAGGCTTGACACGGTCTGTGTAATCCTGCAGGTACTCCAGCAGCATCTCCAGGTACCTGAAAAACAAGTTATTCCACAACATGGAAATCAGACATTGTTGAATCTAATTTGACAAACAAGACGGACAAACCTTTTGTATTCAGCGTTTTTTCTGTCCTTGGAGATGTCAAAAAGTTGGTCGAATGAAGTCAGGTAAGTGATGTAGTCCAGTTTCTGTACGGACACAGACGGGGGATTAAAACCCTACGTTTTATACATGTGGAAGAAGGTTTTAGAGGATTCTAACCTCAGCTCCCTTTAGGTTGATGTARTTCAGGTAGCAGTCATGCAGATCAAGGTAGCGTCCGTATCCCTCTTCATCAGTGAAATCCACCATGTCTGAAAAACAAACAGATCTTAGAGCAAGATCTTAACAGGGATCCACGATTAGTTGTAACATTAGACTTTATATGACAAACATATACTTTTAACTGTAAAATAAAGACTGTAAAAATACTGTAGGCTGTTTAGTTTTTATAATTTCTTTAACTACAAGTTTAAAAACATATAACACGGACAGGGCCATTTTATTTAAATGCAAAGCATTCTGGGTAAATGATGACATGGATAGGTCCTCGGTGC